CAAGCTTTTCATGCATTTCTGGGGCAAAGGTATTGATGCCCCGTGAAGTGGTAAAAAGGTTAGAAAAGTTCGCCTTTGAAATACGGGTGCTATTCACCAAGTACTACAATATTCAAACTGTATGACGGCTCTAAAGTATCTAGAGAACATGCCCGCAAATGCGCCCACTGCAGATAGTGGAAACTAGACTGGCTTATGGCCGCTTCTCATGCGCATCTTTTTACGTCCGAGCAATATTTTAAATTGTATTTTCTGTAACTAGGAGTGGTTTCTTGTGTTTTATTACGAATCGCCGTAAAGTTTGAATGGCATTGTAGAATGCCATCAAAGTGTTGAGACGAAACTATTCGTTTAGACTTCTAAAAGAAGGACTTTTAAATATCTTTCCTAGCAAAAGCTGAAATTGTTACTTGGAATTATGTTATTTAGAATTTTTCAATTAGATTGTAATCTCATATTAACGGAAGGAGTTTTTAGTAGATTTTAAAATAATTTCATAGCAGCGTTGGATTGCAATTAAAATATATTATAGCAGTGCATTTCCAATTTAATTGAAGCTTTTAAACTCCACTAGCGATAGCGAGATGGTTTTAAACGCTGAAATATTTCTGTCTCTTATTTTTTTAAAAATCCAGGTCAATTTGTTAGGCACTCATTTTATATTGCTTATTGAAATATGCATCTAATACTTCATACAATTATCTCATATCTTTATTTTCTTATTTTTATATATAACATATTTCACATGATTTTTTATTAAAAAAAAGTAACAATATATAAAACATATATATAAAACATATTATATAAAAAAATAGAAGTCCACCGGTTGCGGAATCCGGTGACTCAAGCAACCAATAGGAACCTCCTCACTATTCGTGCGGTTTCTAAAATAACCGCCTTTTGAATCGGGCCCTTAATCCCTTAATACTTCATTATTATTATAAGATCGCTATACTCTTTTCAGTAACTAGTTATACATACTATTAATAATTTATACCCAAAAATGTAATAGTTCAAAAAGTATTTAAATGTTAATTAAGTCATTATCAAGTTGACGAAGGGTCGGCATAGTATGTGCTGCTCTTCCATACATTTCTATCAGCCGTCATATCTGAATCCACTTCCTTCTTATGCATATACTTTCTTCGGCCTTCCTCTTCCTTTCTAGCCATCCACATTCATTCTTAACATTTTCTGGTTTATGTCTTCATCGTCTCGTCGCTTACTTACTACGTGCTACTCATAATAAGCAACTTAGCTGCTTTTCTATAAAAGTTTGTAGAATTTACTTTCAACATATATTTTATCAAAGTAAAATAAAATGAGTAAAAGTTTACCACTTGAAACTTAAATTGCGATCTGATTTCGCGGCGCACTGCAGTCTACGGAGACACATTGTAATGATTGATGTGCCCGAGGGAACTGTCGATAGTCGTATTAAACATAGTTAGTGTAATATTATTAAACAAAATACACGTTTAATGTATTCTTGTTTTTATTATGTTTTTTCACATGTAAAATTTGAAACTAAACTCTCGTGATTTTTTAAACAAATTCCCAAAACGTATGTAGTGTATTTAGTTTAGAAGTCTGTTTTGTTTCTTTTTTTATTTCAGTTTATACAAATGTAATTTTCTGACGACACAAGTTTGTTACCACGTAATCCTAGAACGACTGAACGGATATGAATAAAGTTTGAAAAATAGATAAATCACACTCTTTTCTAACTTTTTAATAGCACCCAAACGAAACCACGGGCAACAGCTATGATGAATTCCAAAAAGCAACTGCGACAGAAGTCATATTGTTAAATGAATTTGCAAGGGAATGGGAACGCTCCCGACTCGTTTACTGGCTGATGAGATTTTTAACGAGCGGAAAGGGCACGACGGTCGGAAGCGCAATTTACATTTAAATTTTCACGACGACCAATTGCATCAATTGCCCTTATAATTACTTTATTACGAACTGAAAGTTTTAGAGCGTTTGCCTAAAATCTGTTTGTGCAAACCTTCATAATTGGACAACATTTTTATAAATTGCTTTTGAAAGACCCGGCGTAGTTAAGGTTATTTTAATCTACACTGAATGACTTCTGTCAATTTATTCATCACATAACCTAAATTTACCTCTATCCAAAGTAACTTTTGCGCTCAACAAGGACGTCAAAGTTAACGAAAGTTTTTACATTCTTTGTGCTTATTCGTTGTGTAAGGTAACTAAATGAAATAATTCAAATAACTTTAAACCTTTATTGATTCTTAAAACTATCTTTACAGTTATCACTAAGGTAACTATTGTTTATTTACCAACTACGTTGACTATGGACGACAATGTCCGTTGAACCGAACGGCTCAGAGGTTAACAAAGAGTAGATCATTAGGCAGTGATCGTTCAAACTTATTCTATGCACTGACATAAATACAGAACCGGCTGATGCTTGGACGTGACACCTTGTGTTCGAGTTCGAGCTTCCATCACTACTAGCGACGTCAATATGGCGAAAATCAATTAGGCACAAGTTATCACGGCTTATAGCCTATCTAGTGGATGATAATGTCAGTAATTCTATGTCTTTAAAATTACTGTTTTCTTATAAATTGCATAAAAAGAGTCTGTTATACAGAAAAATCTATATAAATAATATTTAAGAAAAAATAAAATGTAAATTAACAATAAAAGTTTCGAAAATGTAATTGAAAATACATAAAGACTTGTTTATAAATAAGTTGCATATATACAAAGACTATTTATTACTACATATATTTTGTTGGTGGCTTAATATCACTTTAAAGGAATAAATAATTTCGATAAAACGTAAAATATCAATTTGTGTACATAAATAAAACAGGCAAGTTTTATATCAGCGTTTGTTAAAAAATTATCCGAGCGTTTCATATTTATAATGTATTTCTTTCAAAGAAACTACGTGATAGTTTAAATTATATTTGTAACAACAAAAAACATTAGAATAAACGAATCAAAGACTCAACTAAAGAAGGACCCTTGATAGATCTGAAACTAGTAGGCGCCGTCACCGGAAGATCAAGCGTGAGTTGAACTTTAATTCGTTGAAGATAATGTATCAAGAAAGTTTAAACAATTTAAACATTAAAGTGTAAAAAAAAGTTGGTTTCTAGCACACTAGCTATCACATTCAATACTAAATTATTAATCGTCAATCCGTCCTTACTTCGCATATGAAGAATGTTTCAAAAGAACAGGGCGAGTCGTTCCATTTAAGACCTTTATCATCTCGGTTCCAGAGTTCCAAGCAATTCTCTTCTTCACCGTTCTCGTATCTGAAGTTGTTGGGCTCGCCAGCATTCCAGTTAACAAAGGTAAGTGGTCTTCCATTAGCCATCCAAAAGAAGTTCCCCTCTTCGGCCAAGTCAGTGCCTGATGTCCAGAAGTGTTCACGTCCGTACCCTGTAAATAGAGATTTCTCTGTTAAAAATATTTATTCTTAAATTTAACTGATACTAGACATACTACGAGTAGTACGTTTGTTACTAAATATGAAGAAAAGATTGGTCGTTTAACAAAACCATTAACATTAAATCTAAATTGCAAGTAACACATTATAGCGTGAATTCTTTTTAATACGATTTTTAAATGTATACAAATAGGTTAACATACCCGAGTCTTTTACGTATTTCTCTAGCCTGTCGTTTTCTTCTTGTGATGAGATGGAGGCGAGATGCATCCCGTGGAAGCGGCAGTACTGCTGCGCTTTGAACCAGTTCGCCTGGAATGTTACAATTTTAAATGAGTACAATTCCAATGTGACAATTTTAAATGAGTACGATATCCATGTTACAATATTTAATTAGCGAAGATGCAATGTTACAATAATAAATTACTGTTGATGTCGACTGTTGTAAAACACTGAGTGTGCAATGTTTACATAGGGTTCCTAAAATTTTACTAACTATTTTCACAATCAAATGAAATATCTGTGTAATTTTACTACATAATATAAAATGTTCATCTCCTAAATCCAAAAGGGCGCAACTGGAAATTCGATTCCTGTTCCCACAATTAAACTTTGACATTTGTCAACGATGGCTCATTATTTTAACGACAAATTAAGACTAACCTTGAAGAAATATCAGTTATTTTTATATAAGAAAAAGAAAATCTATTTTTAGATACTCTTCAATTGAGTTCATTATCCATTACTAAGTTTATTTTTGTACGTTGTTATATGTTTATTTTTTTTTACGTTAATCAAATAATTGAATGTAAAATATTAATTTATCAGATATTTCCCCTTCCGTGCGATTGATCTACTCTTTTCTTACACATATGCTCAGTATATGTCTGATTCGATAAAACTATCCGTTCGTTATTTTAGAATATCCTGTCTAACATAGAAAATCTAGAAATTACTAGTCGACAGTGTTGTGCAAGAAATCCGCCTTAGCTTGTCCCAGGTTGCGTAGATTTACCTAAGACGAGTGCGTTAGTACACAAACCTCAATCATCTATTGGTTATACGATTACATTACGGGATACACAAGATTGCTTTACAAGTGAAGTAAATCCGATATTCTTTAAAAATAGTTTATAAGTTATGTCTATACTTTAGTAACATTATAACGAGAAAAGATTAGTATTTTTGGATTTTTGTATGTATTGAAATAACTCAAAAACTACTGGGCCGATTTTAAAAATTCTTTCACCATTCAAAAGCTACGTTATCACTGCATATATAGCCTATACTTTTTTATTCTACATGGAGAAAGTCGCGAGGAACAGCTAGTTGTTTATTAGTTAGATTGCATTAACACCTATCTATGGCCATAGACGCCATAACTAATATGCTATAATTACACGTTATTTTTATTTTGTCACTGCTGCGTACACCGGCTTCACATAGTACAAATGTAACGCCTATCAAAGTTCCTACACTCGTGAGTCGGTCATGTAACCTTTAAACTATAGTGGCGATGTAACAACCTTTAGACGCGGGTCACTATGTTAATAAGCTAAGCAAAGGCAATGCAGATGGTTGGTTTCTTATATTTGTATACATGGACAATTATACACACAAAGAAAGAATTTTATTTGACATTTAGGTTAAATGATAGCACCATAATTTTACGAGAGCATCGGTGGCTCAGTGGTTTAAGCACTTGACTTGTAATCTATAGATCTTGGGTTCGAATCCCGTCATGTACCAATGTGATTTTCGATTTTTCGAATTTTCATATGTACATAATTTACCCGACGTTCTTACGGTGAAGGAAAACATCGTGATGCAACCTGCACATATCGGCGAAGAAATTCAAAGATATGTGTGAAGTCAACCAACCCGCACTGGGCCAGCGTGGTTGACTATGGCCTAATCACCCTAATTTAGGGTAGGCTCCGAGCCCCTCAGTGGGGACATATAATGAGCTGGTGGTGGTGGTGACCATAATTTTATATTGCTCTACTTCTAAGTTGTATCCTCGTGTGAAATCAGTATATTTTGATACTCCTAACGATTCATTATAGACTGTATGACAAATCATGTATTTCTCGATGCCTTATTGCGGTAAAAAGGGTTACCAAACTGTTGGCTCTACGAAATTAACTACGAGTCTTACTTAATATAGCACCTTTGCTTCACGTGTCTTACTTTCTTAGCAAAAAACATCATCATTACTCGGCATACGTACTGGAAATAATAAAATCATTGATTTTGAAGTGTTCAAGATGTTATTTTTTTATTCTGCTTTAAACAAACTTTCTATAGTTAACCTAAAAAGGTGAAAAAAGCGTGTTTTTCAATCCGCAGTATACAAAATATCAACGAGCAAAGAACGTATTTTTCATTCATAACGCATATAATCAGCAAGCAAATCTGCAAGTACAGCAAAAGTTGCGCTTGCAACAAGGAAATCACGTCCGCGTAGAGTTGAATGGAAGTTTATTCCAGCTAAACTGTGACGACCTGGATTCCTGAGTACATTGCTGAGGTTTATTGCATATAGACTTTATGCCACTATTGAGAATAGAAGTTGCATTTTAATATTTGTTGTTGTGCTGTGGTTAGATTGATACAATGTTTTACAAAGTGTCATCGACCTCTAAAATCTGAGATATTGCTTTTTTGTTCAATCACATTTGTTGTACCTAAAATGTAGCAGCAAAGTGATTCAATTATGACAACTAGCTTACGCCTGCGACTCCGTCCGCGCGGAGTTCTAAAATCAAAAGTTCTTGTGTTCTTCCAGACTATCCCCTACGTCTATGCTAAATTTCATCCATAATAAACAAACATCCATATCCATCCATCTATACTTTCGCATTTATAATATTAGTAAGATTAGCAAGATTGAATGGCAATACCAATAGGTGTAACAACTTTCACTCATTCAAATATTGTTGAAATATTGAAACTGCATTCAAAAATGTAATGTTCGTTCAACTAATTACAACCAATTCTGTATTTATTTTACCAAGACAAAAATAATTTAAACTCTGAAGTCTACAATTGCGTGATAACAATACCTGTGCTGTGATTAATTACCGTTGATTTACAAGCTTTATTATTTAGTACTATTTATGGAAGCAATGAATAATTAATAATAGGTGGTTAATAATGTTCCGATGACAGGCTTAAATATTTTACCGTGCAGTTGTATTGTAGATGTATAATTAATCAATTATGCTATAAATCGATTATTTTATTATATCTGTTGGATTAAAAAATCGAGTGTTTACTTATGGGGCCAAAATGATAAAGGCAACCAATCGATTTTGAGGTAGGAGAATTAATAATAAAAAACGTGTTTTTTTAGAAAAATGTCATACGTTTGTATATTTTGATAAAAAGCAGATTTTTTTTTGTGTTTTATGCAAAATAAATTTTGAAAAGTCGGTAGTGATTTATATAGCGGATTATTTCTGGCAATAGATGGCGCTGCATTTCATAGTCGTTTGATGTCGAATGTCAAAATAAAATGTTTTGTTACATATTATAGTTTTTGCGGTTGTTTTAGTGGTGCATTGAGTCGAATTAAGAATCGTACGCTCGGTGAATTTGAAAGAACCGGTCTCTTTGTATTATTACGTCGGAATAGAATGAAAGCCGTGGGAATGACGCCCACTGCGGATTCTGCATTGTGCACTGCGGAGGTTAACTTCCGGAACTCTTCAAAGTTAGCGCAAAGAATGTTTTAAAAAGGTAAATATGTCATGTGTTTGCTATTTTTAAAATGAATGGGACAAGAATGTTTGATTTTGTGGAATACATTAAAGTTGTAAATTACTAGGGAAGAGACTTTCTATACAAGCAATATTTTAAAATGTTATTTATAAAATCATAATTTTATTTAATAAAAACTCCTCTGACATAGAACTATAAAACGTGGTTGGATAAGTTAAACTTTCTAGGGTGTTGTTTTATTAAAATTAGCGTGTTAATGATGCTCCTATACGAATACTGAAAGTAAAAAAATAATAAAGGTGTCAAAAACGTTAAGAGTGTCAGCAGATGCTCGACGGATGTCTGTACGGGCGTGGTAAACACTTAGGATGAAAGAGAAAGCTGTACAATCAATCAAACACGCCACACATCGCACAACACTGGTGTTTAGTGATGGGAAGTGTTTTTTATGTTGATGGTTTTGTAATATAAAATGGATGGGAATATAAACCAGAAAGTGTTAAGATTGATTGTGGATGGCTACAAAGGTAGAAGAAGACCGAAGAAAGTATGGATGGATTGTGTGAAAGAGGATATGCTTAAGAAGGGAGTGGATTCAGATATGACGGCTGATAGAAATGTATGGAAGAGAGAAGATAAGAGCAAGTTGGTGATGAAGTTAATGATGGTTTTGTAATTTGATTTTGTACAAATAACCTAAAAAGTGAAATTGAAAGCATGCTAGCCATGTTTTTGTATTGACAATAATAACCTAGTTGTTGCGGCAAATAGTAAATTATGTTTCTATAACAAACATATTAGAAAAAGTTTGTAGAACCTATCCTCGGGGCTTGAATTTAATAAAAAATTGTCAGCTATTTCTAACGTGTTATTAAATAACGCTTACAGTGTTATTATTTGTCGATTCCCAACACTAGTTACCAATGGATACGTAGTGATGTAACGATGACGTTGCGACGTCTTTTGATGACCAATTGTTGTTGGAGAACTTTGTTATTAGTGTTTTTATGCTGATAAATCTACAGATATAACGTTTAAATTCATATATTTAAGTTATAGTAAAAACATTTGTAATGATGATCAAAATTTGATGTCGGTTTCAAAACAAGAGAGTTCTTTTTCTTACAAATACAAATAGTTAAATTTTCCTATGAGACATATTATCGTGTAAAACTGTTTTAAGTTTAAGCAGTTTATGATCACTTACCATCTTACATTCTTTGCCTTATTTGTAAAATCTATGTACACAATGTTTGGATGTAACCATTTATTACAGTTACTTAATAATAAAATTATATCGCAATAAGACGCGGCCTTTTGCGGTTGCGTTACAAGACAATCATCATTTAAAATAGGATGTAATAAACTACGAGGTCAGAACGTCTCCTTGCGTTTGTTAAACCGAATTGAGTTCATTTTCAAAGTGATAAATTTCTCAGGGAAATTACAAACAGACGGAATATGGTTATATAAAATTAGTCTTGTACGTTTGAGAAAAGAATGTTATTCAAAAATTTGTTTCCGAAAAGAATTTTTATTTATATTTGTTAAGCTAGCGCTTGACCACTATCCCACCTGAAGAAAGTGACGATGCAGTAATATTTTATGACTTGTGTCATATTTTTAAGATCGTATTACATTGAAGGTGTTACCGAATCGGAAGTATTACTAAATTGGGATAGGAGAGACAGATAAGGTTTAGAGTCCTTCAAGGAAAGAGAATACTCTATTTTTTCAGGCCTGTAACAATATACTCCCTGTGATGTTGTTGATGTCCAACGTCATCGGATCAACTAACAGTAGGACATTCTCTATTTGTTTTTACGTTTCTTATAAAACAATTAACATTGTCTAAATACCTTAAAGAATATTCCTAGATAGTACCGCTTTTCACCACTCTTCAACAATGGCATGGTCCATCTTGTCACGCCTAGTTCTTCCTCATTGCAACTCGAGCATTCTGAAACATCATAACATGACAGTGAGATGATTTTATAAAGATACAGCTGTTAATTGCGACTTCATTCTCGTGGAATTAAAAGATAGTAATAAGCCTATGTTATGCAGTAATATTGTAGCTTTTTAATGGTGAAAGAATTTTTAAAATCGGCTCAGCAGTTTTTAAGTTTTTTTTTTATAACATAAGGTGGCAAACGAGCAAGCGGCCACCTGAAATCGCCAAAATGGCGAAGCGACCGCTGCCCATAGACATCCGCAATTGCAGATGTGTTGCCTACCCTTATCCGACGGAGGAGGAGACGCACATAAAGAGGATATTTCCCCTTCCTATGCATCTCCTCCACCGTCAAATCCACTTCCTCTTCCCAACCTCTCTTTATAAGAAAAGGGTGGTAAAGGGAAAGGGACTTAAATTAGGCCTCCGGCACCACACTCACATCAGACGAAACACGGAATTGCTTCCATTTCACGCCTGTCTAAGTTTCTGAGTTATTTCAATACATACAAAAGTTCAATAATACAAATCTTTCCTCTTTATAACATTAGCACAATAAGACAAGACAGTTTATATGTTCCTAGAGTAAGATTTAAAAAAGGAACTTGGTCCTTGAAAATTCTAATAAAAGTAAACATAAATTTAAAGAAGTACAAGTTTAAATTACCATTTAATTCATCATTCTAAGCATGATTTTAAAAGTAAGAAATTATCGTTAAAATATTTATTAATAAGCGAATAATTGATTATTACTGTCTAATAAATTAACAGTCATTTTGCAACTAGATTTGGTGCCAATTAGATATCGAAAAAACATTAATATGTGCTTTGAAATAAAAAAAAACATCTCATTCGCTAGCATTGACCTTATGAAGGTGTAGGTTTTTTTATTTAAATTCTTAGTTGCCAGTAATTCGAATATGTGATTTAGTTGGCAGTAATTAACCTTTTTTCTAATGAAGCTATAAAATTACACATGCGACAAACAGGTTTTTATTCTGTATGTTTTGTACGTTTATTTAACGCACATCCAGGTTATGAGAGACAAGGTCTAAATTAAACATCTTTAGAGCACTATAACGCTGTTTTTTTTTTAAATAGTTAATAGACAAAGTAAAACTTTACCTGCCAACAATGTCAATGCATTTTAAATAGTTATAAAAATATTTAGATCATAAGAAATACGTCACATAAGCTGAATAAATTACGAAAACAAGATATCAAATATCTGGAACATATAGGAACATTGTAATTGTTTGAGAAAGAATTTCAGTTTTCAAATGTTTTGTCAATTGTCGATATTATATTATTTAATTCAAATTTCATTCGCGACTTGTATTAAATTTGACGTAAAATCTCTGAACTGTCATTACTTAACTTCGAAAACCTTATTGCTGCGTAAAGATATTCTTATTATTCACCACTTACTGTATTATATAAGGACAGTAGATTTAACAGATATCCAGAAAACAAAGTCTAAAGATAATAGAAAGCCTTAACATCTGAAATGTAACTATACAATAACAATTACCACAATAACGTTATGTCGTGTGTCTGTAACAGATCGCATTAATCCTTACCAATTTTACTTTTGCAGCTGAAATAGTTCCTATTTTAAATGCATAGAGACTTAATTAGCATGCGCAAAATACGTATAACATGTAAGAGTAACCTCAATTGTGCAAATGACGCTTGCAACTAATGTCGGGAAAGTTAAGCCTAATGTGTGGGGTCTATGAATAATAATTGATTTGTTATTCATCCGTTACTCATCATTTCTATAAATCAAAAACCGATCCATCAAAAAAGTTACATCTATATAATACGATATGTAACTCTTCTCGGGTAGTTTAAATATCAATTTGTTTTCATAAATAAAAGCAACTGTAGGAATAAACGGTTCAAAGGCAGTTCGATGACTTAATTGCAAATGTGTATTAAGAGAGCCGACTTAGGGTAGGGCGTAGCAGGTCCGTCCAGGGCGCTGGACATGAATGGCTTTGCCTTAATATCGATAAGAAGGGGGCGCCTTAGATCTCGCTTAAGAACTAGTAGTACTATGTATCAAGAATGGAAGGTAAAGGAAGATGAAATTATGTACATTTATTATTACCACCTAATTGAATACGGCGTCTGTTTTTTATCTGTACAAGAATATATTAAATTATAAAGGTTAAAATGAACATACATCCAAGCTTGTTACAAAATTCAGAAATCATGACACAATTATCTCGGTCGATCCTTCATTTTTATTGGCAGATGACACATGAAGGTATTAAAATTGAAACAAGTAAATTCAGTGTTGACTTTGGGTTTTTATTGATTGTGTAAACATGTTGCTCGTGACATGTAATCGATTATGGTTCACAATAAAGCCAGTGAAGTTATCAGGAAGAGATTGAGATAATACAATTATTTTGTTCTCATACATTCAGATTTACTTTAATGAATTCTTTGTTGTATAAAGATCGGTGTTTTTTTTTTACTTTTTGGTAAAAGACAGCGATATTTCTCTACTCTCTATCTTTTATTGTAAATGTTATTCTAATTGACTTTTAATTTTACATCCGTTGTAGTCTTTTGTTATAATTCATTTGTTTCATTAGGAAAACAAATGAATAACAGAAGCCATATTTTACGTATTACAAATATTGTGATTGAGAAACTCTCCTCTCATACTATTGATTCGTCGCCTACAATTTATATTTTTACACTGTCGTATGATTGCAAATATATAAAAACATCGCCTTGAGGATTTTGACCCTATCCTTGCCAACAATTTGACGCACATGAGTCATACGCATAGCACGATGACATTAAAATATCGCTTCTTAAAACCTCTAGCAACGCGACTTGAGTCACGTTTCAAATGTTAATGTCAAGATATCATTGTCCTGAACATTGAACATAAAAGTATTAGAGAGTAACATTTCCTTACATGGTAGATACAAAAGAACTATCAAGTATACATGGTGACTATGAAACTCCCGATTTATGGCTCATGCTACTTGGAATTTGATTCGAATTCTACGAGTAGTTCTATCATATTCCGTTTGGTTTTACGATCAACATTGAAATCTGTAATATGCATGTTTTCAATTTAGATCTCCCCTAACACCAGTAAATTCCTCTGAGAATATTTTTATTCAAATGGCACGAATAAAAACAATTAAAGTTCCCTCATTTCGATATAATGATGTAAATTATGTGACGAATATTATCTTTGGAGCTTATAGGTATCCGGAATCGAATCGATGTCACGAACTGTGAGTAATACAAATATTTGCGTTTCTGTTGAGCCGTGTGTATGTTGGGTAAATCTCTTGTTATTACATGACTCAAAGGAGAAATTAACGAATTCTTGATGATTAAACATAATACAAACATAAAGCCATAAAAACCATAGAGTATACATACCATAGTAATAAAGACAACACAGTTATTTTAAAGGAAAACCACAGAGAAAGTGCACTAGATCATAGAATTACCAGCTATCGATATGCTTTTAGAATTTCATACGCACATCTGACGTTCTTACGGCGAAGGAAAACATTGCATGTTTATATCTAAGAAGAAATTTAAAGAAATCTGTGTAGTCGCCCCTTTGTAGGGGAGGGTAAGCTCCGAGCCTCACACACATACTGTAGTTGATGTGACATATAATGTTTATCCATACATCCATGCATAGACATGAAGTTGTCTTCCAATGACAAATTTTGTATGAAACCCACGGTTACGCAAGCATAGTAGGCGTTTGTTTGCATGTTTGTTAAGCGTTACTAGTCAAATCATTTTAACACCATGACCCTAAATGAGTCACATATTACCTGATTTCGAAATGCTGTTGAGAGACGTCGGGAAGTTGACTGTCATCGTGTCTGCTATCCAACTCATCACGATTAGAACCACGCACAAACGTTTGTACATTTTGTATAGTTTTTTTTACACTTTTTAAATTTTGTTTTAGAGTTTTGAGGTTAAAGATTGAGGTTAGCTGTAATTATAAATTACTAATGAGGTTGACTTGTATTTTTAAACTATAAAAACTTATTTAAATACTTTTTCATATAACAGAACCAAATTCGATGACCATTTGTAATCATAAATGTATATTTGAGCCACTAATCTGTTAACAGATAATAACGAAAAGTTTATATTTTCATACGAAGTTCTTGTTTTTGTTTGTGTTCTTGTTTTGTTAGGATATTATTCGAATTATGAATTAATAGGTATACATAATTTACTACATGATGTAGTTATCTTTAGAATTACGTTAGAAGTTGTGGGCAACAAATTGCGTTACTTCAAAAAATAAATATAAAAGCCATAATATTAATTAATTAATGTATTTGGCGTAGAACTAATTGAACCTAGATCGTTCGCGTATTACATTATAATCATTCTCACATTATGTTTGGATGGATGTGATACAAGAATAATAATTTAAAACTGAAGGTATTACTTTACAATACGATTTTTAATTTTATTTTTATTTCCTGTCTTAAAGGTCTTCGTGCATATTTGCAAGCCAATTAAAATATTTTTATTAATACGAAGTACAGATTAAATCAGGACTTCCGAATGAAACTGATATCTTTACGTCGATCATTTTATAATTATGTAGTTTTACTCTATACGTGCTTTTTTGTCCTTACTTTTTAAAACAGAATAATTCATTGCGTAATACAGATCACAGATTTTGAGTTTGCAAGGCAATAAAGGATACGACCGATTCTTTTTATTCAGAATTCAATTGTTTTTTATTTAGCTAATTGACAGAAATCATTGAGACTCACAGAGAGATAGAGTAGAGGTAGCTCAAGTACTCTACTTAACACAACCGGAAAAAATATCACTTAGTTTCAAAGAAATACTGAATTCTCGTTTTAATTGAAATCGTTAAATATAGTTGGGTAATAAAATGATATACTTAACCGTATGCAATAAGCTAAAAAGGTTAATTTCTGTGGCAAGGTCCTAAGGACCTTTGTATTATTATTAAGTTG